TGGCACGATATGATCCACTTTTCCGCCAAATTCTGAGAAAATCTTCGAAAATCTCGCTTTTGGGAGCTTTTCCTCTGGGCGAATTTGATTTTTTCCTCCAGATTGTAAGCGTGAGTGTGAGAGTGACATTGCGAAAGGAAGCTGTACAGCGATGACTGGGGCAAGACAAAATTTTGGCACGATATGATCCACTTTTCCGCCAAATTCTGAGAAAATCTTCGAAAATCTCGCTTTTGGGAGCTTTTCCTCTGGGCGAATTTGATTTTTTCCTCCAGATTGTAAGCGTGAGTGTGAGAGTTACATTGCGAAAGGAAGCTGTACAGCGATGACTGGGGCAAGACAAAATTTTGGCACGATATGATCCACTTTTCCGCCAAATTCTGAGAAAATTTTCGAAAATCTCGCTTTTGGGAGCTTTTCCTCTGGGCGAATTTGATTTTTTCCTCCAGATTGTAAGCGTGAGTGTGAGAGTGACATTGCGAAAGGAAGCTGTACAGCGATGACTGGGGCAAGACAAAATTTTAGCACGATATGGTCCACTTTTCCGCCAAATTCTGAGAAAATTTTCGAAAATCTCGCTTTTGGGAGCTTTTCCTCTGGGCGAATTTGATTTTTTCCTCCAGATTGTAAGCGTGAGTGTGAGAGTGACATTGCGAAAGGAAGCTGTACAGCGATGACTGGGGCAAGACAAAATTTTAGCACGATATGGTCCACTTTTCCGCCAAATTCTGAGAAAATTTTCGAAAATCTCGCTTTTGGGAGCTTTTCCTCTGGGCGAATTTGATTTTTTCCTCCAGATTGTAAGCGTGAGTGTGAGAGTGACATTGCGAAAGGAAGCTGTACAGCGATGACTGGGGCAAGACAAAATTTTAGCACGATATGGTCCACTTTCCCTCCAAATTCTGAGAAAATCTTCGAAAATCTCGCTTTTGGGAGCTTTTCCTCTGGGTGAAACTGATTTTTTCCTCCAGATTGTAAGCGTGAGTGTGAGAGTGACATTGCGAAAGGAAGCTGTACAGCGATGACTGGGCAAGACAAAATTTTAGCACGATATGGTCCACTTTCAATCCAAATTCTGAGAAAATCTTCGAAAATCTCGCTTTTGGGAGCTTTTCCTCTGGGTGAAACTGATTTTTTCCTCCAGATTGTAAGCGTGAGTGTGAGAGTGACATTGCGAAAGGAAGCTGTACAGCGATGACTGGGGCAAGACAAAATTTTAGCACGATATGGTCCACTTTTCCGCCAAATTCTGAGAAAATCTTCGAAAATCTCGCTTTTGGGAGCTTTTCCTCGGGGCGAATTTGATTTTTTCCTCCAGATTGTAAGCGTGAGTGTGAGAGTGACATTGCGAAAGGAAGCTGTACAGCGATGACTGGGGCAAGACAAAATTTTAGCACGATATGGTCCACTTTTCCGCCAAATTCTGAGAAAATTTTCGAAAATCTCGCTTTTGGGAGCTTTTCCTCTGGGCGAATTTGATTTTTTCCTCCAGATTGTAAGCGTGAGTGTGAGAGTGACATTGCGAAAGGAAGCTGTACAGCGATGACTGGGGCAAGACAAAATTTTAGCACGATATGGTCCACTTTCCCTCCAAATTCTGAGAAAATCTTCGAAAATCTCGCTTTTGGGAGCTTTTCCTCTGGGTGAAACTGATTTTTTCCTCCAGATTGTAAGCGTGAGTGTGAGAGTGACATTGCGAAAGGAAGCTGTACAGCGATGACTGGGGCAAGACAAAATTTTAGCACGATATGGTCCACTTTCAATCCAAATTCTGAGAAAATCTTCGAAAATCTCGCTTTTGGGAGCTTTTCCTCTGGGTGAAACTGATTTTTTCCTCCAGATTGTAAGCGTGAGTGTGAGAGTGACATTGCGAAAGGAAGCTGTACAGCGATGACTGGGGCAAGACAAAATTTTAGCACGATATGGTCCACTTTTCCGCCAAATTCTGAGAAAATCTTCGAAAATCTCGCTTTTGGGAGCTTTTCCTCGGGGCGAATTTGATTTTTTCCTCCAGATTGTAAGCGTGAGTGTGAGAGTGACATTGCGAAAGGAAGCTGTACAGCGATGACTGGGGCAAGACAAAATTTTAGCACGATATGGTCCACTTTTCCGCCAAATTCTGAGAAAATTTTCGAAAATCTCGCTTTTGGGAGCTTTTCCTCTGGGCGAATTTGATTTTTTCCTCCAGATTGTAAGCGTGAGTGTGAGAGTGACATTGCGAAAGGAAGCTGTACAGCGATGACTGGGGCAAGACAAAATTTTGGCACGATATGATCCACTTTTCCGCCAAATTCTGAGAAAATCTTCGAAAATCTCGCTTTTGGGAGCTTTTCCTCTGGGCGAATTTGATTTTTTCCTCCAGATTGTAAGCGTGAGTGTGAGAGTGACATTGCGAAAGGAAGCTGTACAGCGATGACTGGGGCAAGACAAAATTTTAGCACGATATGGTCCACTTTTCCGCCAAATTCTGAGAAAATCTTCGAAAATCTCGCTTTTGGGAGCTTTTCCTCTGGGCGAATTTGATTTTTTCCTCCAGATTGTAAGCGTGAGTGTGAGAGTGACATTGCGAAAGGAAGCTGTACAGCGATGACTGGGGCAAGACAAAATTTTGGCACGATATGATCCACTTTTCCGCCAAATTCTGAGAAAATCTTCGAAAATCTCGCTTTTGGGAGCTTTTCCTCTGGGCGAATTTGATTTTTTTTTCCAGATTGTAAGCGTGAGTGTGAGAGTTACATTGCGAAAGGAAGCTGTACAGCGATGACTGGGGCAAGACAAAATTTTAGCACGATATGGTCCACTTTTCCGCCAAATTCTGAGAAAATTTTCGAAAATCTCGCTTTTGGGAGCTTTTCCTCTGGCCGAATTTGATTTTTTCCTCCAGATTGTAAGCGTGAGTGTGAGAGTGACATTGCGAAAGGAAGCTGTACAACGAACGATATGATCCACTTTTCTGCCATCGAAAATATCTCTGAAAATGTTACTTTTGAGTGGTTGTGGCAATACATGTACTGATAAATTGAAATTTCACTTGAGAAAATTATAGGCATGAAAGACGTTTGTAATATGGGTGTGCCCTACCCGCTTGCTAGCGACCCGTAGGGTCGCTAGTCTTATATATAAAGCTGAATGTCTGTATGTATGTCTGTCTGTCTGTCTGTACGTATGTGCGGAATAGAAATTTTTATTTCTGAACCGATCGGGACCAAACTTGGCATACATATACTTCGGCGCAGGGAGCGTGTCATAGGCTACTTTTCGTTATCGATCGATATCGATTTTATCGATTTTTTGCAAAATTTGAGCTACAGGGCTGGGAGTTGGCACAGGGGGGTAATCGAGCATGCTGATTACGAATATAATAATGACAGGCCCGGGCGGAGCCGGGTTTGCCAACTAGTCCCTAATATGATTCCAACGGATCACTTTCCCTTTTGATCTTGTTCCAAATTTCAAAGTTGATCCGAATAAATTCAACAATCAATCGGTAAAAAAGGTTGAACATAATCAACATTGAGAATATTGGAACTCGAGTCCATTGCAATAGTTTCTATGAAACTATGCAGTTGACCCACTATCTCTCGTGTCACGCTGCTAGCGAAGAGGAGAAGAGGATGGAAGGGACGCAGGAGTTCTTAGCACCTCCATTCGCACCAGCATTCACAGTCTAGAAGGCTCCTCGCACCTTCGCGCAACAGAGGTCAAACCCTGCCCTCGATCCACTCCTTCACTGGGTCTCATTCCAAGGCTGCGGGCTGAGGGAATAACATGGGCATGCTACGAAAATTCATGAAAAATCGTCATCTTGGGAGGCAAATCTCCTAATTATTGCACTTTCTGAACAAACACACTTTGAAACCCTAAAAAAACCCTTACAGTACTCTAGGTAAGCAGTGAGTATATTTTTGGTTTGAAACTGTTTTGTGAAGAAAATGCGTTAAAGTTGATCTTCACTGCAAAGAATTTTTCACAGTTTTTGTTTCTGCATTACCATAGAATAAAGCTTGCCAAACATACCAAAAATATGAATTGGGATTATCTTGAAACTCAGAACCCACTTCTTTTTCTGAAAAAGCCATCTAGGTTCAAATCTAAGTAAGTGATTGAGTTTACTTTGATTTAGGCGAGAACTTTTGCATCGATCTGTATAGTAGGTAAGAATCGTTTTGGCATGCTAACAGAAAATTTACAAAATTTCAGCGGATATTTAGCTAAAATTAATTGCAAAAGTATCAACAAATCTCTCAAGAAGAAGGTCTTTCTATCATTCATTCTCATGAAAAGCACCAGAACATGAATTCAAACAAAAAGGATATCTTAGTATTGAAAACGCATTCATCTCTATGAAAAAGTTGTTGAAAATGATGAGAAGCTCAAATTAATCGGTTAATAAGTCAAGATCTAGCTTCAAAACTGTTCTAAACCGCAATAAGTCAAATTTCATCCAATATTTTTTTTTCAATTTTTTTTACTCATCCATTCAACAGAACACATTGGGACTATTTTCCATGCCTGCACAACTCTGAATAAGATTAGCTAGTGGGCGGAGCAAGTGGGGGCGGAGCCGTCTAAAAGGTGCGAAGGCCCCTTGGAGGTGCTAACTATCCCTGCAAGGAAAGGCGGCGAGGCTTTGGGAACTCCTGGGCCTCCGCCCTGCTAGCGCACCTAATTGACAAGTTCTCTGAATAAAACGGCTCAAAAATTCTCACTTCGTACATAAATAGCTAAGAAATCAAGTATGTTGACTTCCTCCTTTGCAGCTGTGTAATTAAAAGAACAAAAATTTTCGAATTTTACAAGAGATTGGAAATTATAATTTGTTTGTGTTTTTAGTAGATTCAATCACATCTATCACCTAAAAGCATGTCCTTAAACGGCAAAAATTATATAGAGCTTGATTGGTTCCCTCAATTAGTTGTTGAATGGTGAAAGCCCTTTCTTTGATTTCGCCAATCAAAGCGGCACTTTCTTCTTGAGCACAATTGCTGGGGAGTCCAAACTCACACGCGAACAGTATTGGTAACGAGGATTTTTCCAGGTGAACTTGCAGATCGAATTTGTTTTGCGACGTTGACCGTTTGGCCAAAAATGCAGTACCTGAAAGTTTTACTCATATTGTGGCCTAACGAGATTCTTGAAGTAAGTTCTACAGAAACTTGTGGAATTATAGTTAACCAAGCAATGGAACTGATGAAGATGCTAAATAAAACCTCGGTTTTTCATGGCTGACCACACCAGCAACAATCGGCCCGCAACTTATTCCAACTCGTACCTAAAGTTTCGGTAGACGGATATGTCTGTAAAATATTGAGATCCTACCCTGACGGTAAGGTTCATTCCAGGAACATCAACCTTCTTGCCAGAGAATACGAAACCCAAAGCGAGATTGAGCATATCTTCAACATGACTGGTTTTCGGATTTGGAGCTCCACTGACTACGAGGTATCCGTCCATTAGGGAAAGGACTTTATAGCACTGAAGTATTTATGTAAGTGGATATTATCCACATAGGCCAGAAAGCATTGTTTACCTTGTGTTTCTCAATAAGGTAATCAAATCGTTTGAACAGGTCAGCAATCATATCGATCACCTAAAAGTTGGTTTATTTAGCTATCTAAAACTTTTAATCACGTATTTGTATACAAATTAACACAATTTCTGTACTTGAAATTATCGCAAAATATAAACATTTTTTCAAGGACCTCCATCAGCAAAGCAAATCAGAACTGCTCGTAAAGTTCCGCCTTATTCTAGCAAATCTGAAGATCTTTCTGTCAAAGCATCTCACTGAACTTTCAGCCAAGAATTGACAATATGCACATTTCCATTGCATTTTCGAGGAATTTTTAGCTCGCCAACTGTTCTATAATGCTTTCAAATCAAAAAATGTTTTCAGCTGAATCCATACTAAAATTTGTACCAACACTATCAAAAATTGAGACAAATGAAAATGTAAACATCCAAAACACTCCTTTGCTCTTTCAAATAATTTTTTACTTCTTCATCTGCCAAGATTTTACCTTCCAAGAAGCGCGCTAAGAAGAAATGCTTTAAATGATTGCGTTACTTACGTTTCAAATGAATGAGATGCGGTGACCGGATTAGATAAACCTTCTACATGAACTTGCAAAAAGTTAATGTAATGTGTTTCATAACTCAACCTCAATAGTAGGACTGAAAAAATAAAAATTCCGAATGGTACCTCTTCTGGTTTGCAGTTCGCGTTTATGGTGATGAAGTCGGGCACATCAGTGAACATCACAGTGCAGTCCGAAAACTCCTCTAAATGTAGAACCCATCACACCAAATTTCTTAAGATCTTTAGTCACATGAAAGAATCAGCTTCAGTTTTCTATACTTGTTAGATAAAGCGGTAAGATTTTCGATGCAATCGTAGCTTTTTTGATGGAATATTCTGACCATCACTGTCAATTCATGCACATGTGGGTTTCAGCGCACTACCTTACTTTGAAGCAAGATAAGTCTGTTCCGAGCTTATGTTGCATAGATTCTGCTTTTTACGGAATTTTCATTTCCTGCAGGTGCAAATATGTATATGAAGGAACAAGTAAATGAATGAATGAATGAATGAATGAATAATGATGTAGGACAAGAATTCAGCTGCTGCCTATTTCTCTCTCCTTGATAGATTTACTCGCAATTCTGAGCAACCATTTTTTGTGTACAGTCGATACTCTCGAAATTCTTGGTGTTTCTTGACGATTTGATCGAGACAGTCATGTAAGCTATACTTAGCAGGCACATGTTGTACGACCTCAGCATAACGCGGAAGAAACTGTCTTATTGCAAGCAATGTTGAACCACGTCCCGATCACTATTGAACACCAACTATTTTTCTTTAGTGAAGCTAAACAATCTAACAAGGGAACGATCCCAATTTAAGGTGGCGAATTGGAATACCGCAGATCGTTAGATGCATCTTAATGAGCTGATTGCAAATCTACCTTATATATCTGCGACAACGTTATCTGGAAGAAGTTATGAAAGGTTAAGAACGTGAAGTAACGGGGGTTTAGTGCATAATTCGCTTCAAAATCCAACTTGGGAGTGTATGACTAGCATGATATTGAGTGTACTGATTTCAAGGAATGCTCACACTCTAAAGAAACACAAATAAGTGCTTCTGAACAACTAATTTTCGAGGTATTGCGCTGTATATTTGCCAAATTTGGACTTTTCATTGCTCATAGCTTTTACAAAAGAACTTTAGTTGCTTTTTAGCTGTTCAAAAACATTTATTTGCGTTTCTTTTGGATGTGAGCATTCCGTGAAATCAGTACACTCAATATGATGCTAGTCGTGCACTTCCAAGTTGGATTTTAAAGCAAATTATGCATCAAAACCCCCGTACTTCACATTTTTAACCGTTCATAACTTCTTCCAGATAACATTGTCGCAGATATGGAAGGTAGATTTGGAATCAGCTCATTAAGACGCATCTAATGGTATGCGGTTCATTCCAATTCGCCACCTCAAGTTGGGATCGTTCCCTTGTAAGACTGCTATAAAATGCAAGCTATCAGAAAACTCACGAGGTGGTACAGGTTTTCCAAGACGAAACGCATTTGCGATCACCTCCGGTACAAACTCGTAGAGAAGATGTTCAGTTTGTTGCTTCTTCTTCTCCAGTTCCTCAGCCAAGCCCTTCATTTTTCGCACAGTCTCCTCTAGTCGCTTGCTTAAGAACACATTATAGACCATTGTAGAAATTATCATAAGTTGCCGTACTTCAACTCCATCTGACATATTCGACTCTGATTTAACATCACCAGGTCCCTAGTTGCGTCATGCATGGGCATATCGGAAATAAAAAGCTTCAAATCCAGGATATCCCGAACAGATGTGACGTGTGGAGAGCAAAGAAACATTATAGAATTTCCGCCATTCACTGGCATCATTTGACCTGTAATTAGACTATTTATCGTCTTCAATAACCCAGAAAGCTCTACCTTTGAGAGAAAGTGGTTGCTGGAATGCTTGACTTGATCCTTTTTCCACTTCGTTGCGACGACAGTGATGTTTCAGTTGGAAGATGAACAACGTGTTTAGGTACGTCATGATGCTTTTGTGTGTCAGTTGCTACAGAAAAATTAATCAGATGGGCGCATATACATAATCTGGTATTCACATGCAAATATGAGTCTGTAGCAATTTAGCTGGTATCTAGTTAGAATTTTGCGAGGAGAGGCAGTTTAAAACATGTTCTACTACATATCAACTATCCGAGTTTACTACTGTCAAAGTGTTCCTCTATACGGCCAGCTTTTTGCAAAAAATTTTTTTTTAATATTTTTTTAATAATACTCGCTTTCGTTCTCACCTTGTGGTGAGTTCCCAACTAGTAGTGTTTGAGTACATACAAGCTTTAGCTACTTTTCGATCTAATACAGTGAAGATTACGTTTTGCTGTAACCGTACTCAAAAAAAATCTTCTGATAGATGAGTGCGAAAGTCAGCATTCAAAAGCCTCCAACTTTGATTCGTCTTTTTTGTAGGGTAATTACTACGAATTTGGTGAAAATGTGGGAGTCTCACTTTTCTGCACCATTTCGTGCTATATGTCTTTTTTCTCAAGCAAAGTTGAAAGTATGATTTTCCTTATCCAACTCTTTCCAATAATACCACACATTGTGATACATTGAGAAAACTTGTTTGCGGTATTTCTATAAACCGCTAGAAAAAGACAAAGAATATTATACATCTGTAAAGAGATCATAATGCCACTATCACCTGTATATCAGCAGGTTGCACTAGTTGCACAAGCTCAGTCAATTTCAGCATCTTCTTGTCTGCAAGACCGTACTCCACTAGCAGATATTTACCTGAAAATCACTTCTAATCCAAAGAAAAAAATAATTTATTTGCAAATGGGCTTACCAACATGCTCGACTACCATCTGTCGGTTGAAACAAATGTGATAAGGGAAAATTCTTGCAAAGTCTTTGAGGTTCATTGGTAGATGCGCTGCCTGAAAATACACAGCATATCATTTTACATCCAGCTTCACGCATACAGCAGAAAAATAGAACTGCAAGTTCACAGTTCTATCAAAAATTATTGGAATAATTTCACAATTTTATCAATAATTATATTAATTTATCCTGCTTGGCAACAAAGACCATCACCTAAACATGAAGTTACGCATATTTTTCATTTGAAGAGACTAATTTATCAGCCGAAAAGTTGCTCATATCGCCTTCCTACTAGAACAGAGAAAATTATCTCACATACATATGCTTTGAGCTCTTTGGAAATTTTCTGCAGTGGTAGTATCAAGAACACGGGTTTCAAAGCTGTTCTTGTGCTCCAAGAATATATTGTAAGACTAAGCCCACCTGAGAACGATGTTGAGACTAGGATATATAAAGTCAGTAGGGTATCTCACGGCATCTCATGTCGAAATCTAATGTAGCTCAATTTTGCATTTCGAAGCATTCAAGGTTTTGTATATGCATATGGGTTTTTTCGGCAATGTTGTTTTTGCTCAACGTTCGTTCTAATACATTTTACTGCCTTCATTTGGAGCAAACAAAATCAGCCAATGAAGTACAAAGCATCTTAATCATTGATAGTATGATTCACTTTACCTCAAAAAATTGTAAGGTTTGTATTTCAACACTTCAGAACATTTCGCGTTCATGTTTGTCCAGTCTATTGATGAAGAATTGCTAGGCTTGTTGTTGTGAATTGGTATCGCTAGCGCAAGTCTTAGTGCAAAAGAACTTTTTTTCTACACAGTACCTGGTTGTCCTGGCACGAACAGGTCCATATCAAACTGAATATAATGAAAAAACTAACCAGTGATGCATTCGCTTCGACCTCGCTGATTGGATTCATCTGACGTTTGAACTTGTAGGCCAAACGTTTTCCAGCGCGATGTTCGTCATCGGGTTCCAATGAGAAAACGACATGCTCGACCATTCCACTTTTCCGACGCTCTTGAGACCTTTCCACCACACTTACCCTGACTTCCATTTCATATAGCAGTCTGGCCGTGCGATGAACAAGACCTGCAAAAACCTTTCTCAGACTGGTTCAAAATGGCAAATCTTTTACCCTTCACAATCGGGAAGAGCCCCTGTCTGTGAGAAAAATAGTGTAGCCGAAGCGCTCCTTCACCCATAGATTCGCACTGGAAAGTTGGTCCCCGCATTTCAGACTTGAATGCGATCTGGTCGATGAAATAATGCATCGAGTTGAGATTGTCCAAAAACTCCTGCAAAATTTTTTTTGTAGTTGCGAAATTTTCGTGAGCTTAGAGCCGCTTCAAGCACCTCATTACTTATTACAACGCATTCAGACACGCGATCTTATCTACGTCAGTGGCATCTGCGGGCGTTCATGTTATGTTTGGGACTCTAAAACTGATGTTACGTATGAAACTGTGTAGTTTATATTTTTCGCAGTGCAACGAATTTATTTGCGCTTTACGGTAGTGTTTGGAGGAGTTCGATATAAAATCGTGAGAAAGAGGAAGATGTAAGAGCAGAAGACATTGAGGACGAGAAATGACTGCAAAAGCAGAAAATTCTTTCAAGTCCGCATTCCACAAGATATAGTTTGCATAACATTCAACGGTGTACCTGCTCAGTGATCGCTGTTCCTAGCAAATATTACCATAATAATAATAGTAATAATCATATCGTAATAATATTATTTTTATTATTATAATGTTCGAAGCTTCCTTGGGAACTACTGATGAGGGGCACCAAGGAAGCTGCACCACCGGTAGTTCTTGGCCCCGAAACCGGATAGTGGCAAAACAGATATAAAAAATTATCGTGAAATTTTGTATCCTTTTGGCAATCATATTTTCATTTCTCATTTGTTTCATTATCACTACGTAAAAAATTGGGAGTTTCTGGTTCCGATCCTTGAATAAATTTTCGTAGGATTTTGTATCCTTTCGGCAATCATATTTTCACTTCTCATTTGTTTCATTATCATTACTTGAAAAACTGGGAATTTCTTGTTCCGATCCTCAAATAATTTTTCTAATTGTTTGGAAATTGAAAGATATTTCTCACTATCACACAGTCATTCGCGCTCTCTATTTGACTTAAGCGAATGGGCAAGAATTCCGAGGTTCCGACAAGTACCGAGCCTTTACATTTTCGATAATTTGTAGACTAGTCAAAACACCTGTAGAATGGTCTACAGGTGTTATACAAGGTACATCTTCATAACCTTGTAAGGGTCGAAAGAAATCGAAAGCTCTTGTCTCGGAAGAAACAAGAAGATCAATTTTTGAGATACTCTTCTATGGATTCGATAAATGCATTTAATTTCTTTCAAATCTTTTCCAAATCTTCAAGTTGCTCGCAGTGGTTTTGGCACTAACTTTAACAGACCAAGTAACGTGAGTTTTAAAGAAAAGACTTTTTTCTTTCAAGCAGACAACGAAGAGTATCAGTGGGGTTAAAAATAGACGGACTAAAAAGCCAAACCGCAAATTTTCGACGTCCAAATGCATTTTACACAACTGCAATTTCTTCATTTCGCTGATTGATGCCTACATGCTAGAGGTCTGTGAAGTGTTTGCTTCCAAAAACGTACCACAACCTTTCAAAGCTTGCTTTTGATGTTTTTTCAGAATCTCGAAGAACTGTGATTTGCATTGCCATAGCAACTGCAGTTGGTATACGTTCAAGCTTAGTCGTAACTAATGGATTTGTTTAAAGGAGACCTAATGAGGGCCTGGGATGATATTTCACCAAAAAGCATTGCGAGCATCGAGAAGATTCTTCAGAAGAGACTAAATGCTTTTACCGAAGCCGGAGGCTAGCGACCGAAAGGTTTTATACAAAATCTTCCTGTCTACCGGATGTAAACGAGACCTTGTGATTTCATGCGGTCATTGCATGTTGCAAAGCTATAAGAATTTTTTTTGCATAACACTTCATGTGGACCACCCTTTAGAATGGAGAGTATGAGAAGTGAGATAGAATTAAAAAATACATTTTCTTACAAAAAATACCCGTTACTGTTATGCGCTTTGATTCTTGTTAGAGTACGGAAATGGAGTGAGTGACTGATTCACATCGTCGGGTCGCGAAATTTTTGAACTTTATTTACATGGGTTATAAAAATGTGCAAGTGACTTGTTTATTCTTGTGAACAATTGAAATAATTTCTAGAAATCTCAAATTCAACTAGCCTTGTAAAAATATTTTTCGGAGGCATGGCGGAACAGGCACGCCCCCTCTTTATAGGTTTTAGGGGTTACGGACTCGCAAAAATTTTGAGAAGCAGCTCAAAAATTTTTTCGGAGTGCCTGGCTACTTTGCCCCCACTCCCCCCCCCCCCCCCGGATGGAAATCCTGCGAACGCCACTGACGCTAATCGGTACTAGCAATTCCAGACAGATCTCTGAGCATTTACATGAATGTTTATCAAGCTTACCTGAAGATTATTGGCCATACATGCGAGCATCTTCTCCCAGCCCGTCTCGCAGGCAAATGTGATGAGAAATTCGCCATACATCTCCCACATATCGTCTATGGACAGACCTGCAGAACATTTTTGCAGGAACCATATAAGAACATCTGTGATTATAGCATTTCAAGGAGAAGCTGATTCTGGGTAGAAAATCGGTTTTTCCTTGAAAGGTGTACGATTTTGATGCGTTCAGATCTCAAGAAGCAACTTAGTAGAATTATGAGGTACTTTGATTCCCCATTGAGATTTACAGTTAAAACATGAGCAGAATTGAAGATGTCTTCGATAACTTGGACCAGTGATAGCAAACATAGAGGAAGACTAATGGCATTTGGGTTATGAGTAACCTAGGACTCCTGCAGCTGTGCGGAATATTCGCATCGTCTCTGTGTCGTCATAATATGTCTGTACTTCGAACTCGCTTCCTTCGGAAAAGCCAGCTTTCCGCCTAGAACAGCACGATAGCAGAACAATTTTACAAACTGTCCTCACAAAATCTCACAAAATTTGTTGCCACACATCTATGCCATATCGCCGAATGATGAGAGTGCTGACGCACACATGCGTCCATCCAATCTGAAGAAAGGAACTACCATGAGATGCTTGTTGTAACAAATGCTTACCATTTTGAGGCAAAAATAAAAATTCTACTCAAAACTCATGGCGTCAGACGGTAGCGGTGACAAGGAGACGACTGGCGGGGTAATGATAGAAGAACACGCACGAGCATAAATATTCATCCACGAAGACCTTGCTTACATTAACGTAGTTGCTGTCGCCACGACATCCACTCGAACACACTCCTATGAAAGTTTCACAGATTACTCTCACGAGTCTTGCATGTTACGAAACTAGTATAAGGTTTTTATTTGAAAAGTGCAACAATGATTGAAGAATATTCCAAACCTTGGTAATTCTTTCTTTGCTTCTTGCATTGTCTCATACTCTCTCATGATCATGTCTCATGTCTCATTGTATTCACACGTTACATTACTTCCATTTCTCTAATCCATCCGAATACGGTTTGGTAATTCATGCCGCAGAAATTTATTTCTACCGTAGGGATAATGAAATCGCAATACATAGCAGCACTACAGATGGTACTGCTCAGGTATACTTCTGGATTCCTGCTACATAGTGCCCAGAAAAACCTCAGTTTCCTTTGCTTCCTCATCCAAAAGCCTCTGAAAGCTGCCGCCTTGCTTCACTGTCCCTAAAATTCAAGTATTTTTTAGTTGCTGTGCTGTTTATTGAAAATAAAATTCACTGGTGACAGGTATCAATGCCTTGAAAAAGTCTTCACGAGCTGCTTAATTGCTCTTACTGTAATGGAGTATCGACATTTTCTTAAAGGCACGTCCACTCAAAATGGGGGTTCACGAGATTCGATGGCATACTAATGTGGCCCCCACACTAGGCCAACCCCCAAGTTTCCCCGCAAAAGAATGCTTCCGGAGCGAGAAATCCGCTCCGGAAAGTACGTAATTCAGAGCTGGTCACTCCGCCCAGCTGGTCACTCAACACATTTTGCAGGTTTGGCGGGCTGCGGCGCTGATATGATAAGCCGGGCGTATAACAGCGCCGCAGCCCTGCACTTGCACCGTCCGCCAGGTTCTCCAAAACGGGGAGTTTTGGGGGTTTCGTGATTTTTTGACCCCATATTGCTGATCAGGGCCTTCAGAAGGTCTGTAAGCGACCAAATCATGGAGGTCGAGAATTTGGGCGGACGGTGCCTTTAAGCTCAATTCCAAAGGTGCGAAGTTTTCAATGAAATCGGCACGCCATCAGCCTTTCTCTGAATTCACAAAAGATAATTGACCGCAGAAGCTATTTAGGGAGTAGACACAGTTGTCTGAACATGCAATCGGAAATAAAATATAAACGTTACGTTTGAACATACAAAGAGAACTTATAAACTTCCATAGAATGTGTTGAGATGGATAGGGGACTATATGTAGCCGAAATTGGGAGGAAGCTCTTTCGAAGTCCAATACCACGCGCAATCTATCCAAGCGGCCTGATCTCTGCAGTTCTTCTTTCAGTTGAGCGAATATCAACTCGTACGTCCTCTGTTCTTGGTAGTGGTGATGGCATACAGGAGGGGAGCGTCCATGGTGTCGTTGCATACTCCGTGCACAGTGTAGAGCTGTCCACATTTGGCTGTTGCATCGGGCTGGAGATCGTGCACGCCGTCCGCTACAAGTGCGTACAGCCCAAACCTCTGCGCCTTCTACAATCATATTTGCTAGGAGTATCACAAAGTTGTTTAGTAGCCTACTTCGATGGTTGTGGTTGAGTAATACATATGCAGATCTGGAGTCTGGAACTGCAGGAATCTTTCGCCATCGGAGAAGTGGGAGTATATGCGAGGTACGTGATCCATAGTGCAGCTTTTATCGTCTAGGCTTTTAATGGCCCTAAAGCTTCTTTCTATTTTTATTATCATGATTCTGTCAATACCTTTTTATGGTGCTGCGCTTTGACTCGTAGCCATCTCTGTGGAAGTAGTGAAGCATGTCGAGCTTCTGCGTCTCGTTCTCGCCCTCGTTTTCTTCTATGTGATTCTCTATTTCTTGCCATGCCTTTCGCGTTGTTGTCCCCACACGTCTCTTGTCCTTTCTGATGTTTTCGCACTCCTTACACCAGTCTTTCCACTTTATCCTGTGCGATCTTTGCGGGTAGGCAGTCGTGCGACAAGGCAGATGGATCTCCCAGGAACTCGTTGTTGATCGCCTTGACATTAATATTAATGTACATCTTCATTTTCACAGTAACCCCTACAGCTATCATTGTGTTTGTTCCCATGCATTTGCATCCCGTACATCGGTATACTTCATAGGTGGAGTTCGTGCGAAGATGATGGAATGTGTAGCACAACGGACTTCCTAAGTATGTTTATCCTTGAATAAATGCTTCAATAGAGTTGTTTTGTCATAGGAGTGACCTGGTATTGCATAGCGCAGGATCGGGTGTTTTCCTTGTTGACTTCGATCTACTTGTGCAGGGAACTTTGGCGCTTCTAAGTTGAATCCACAACGTCGATGAGGTTGCCTTCTCGGTGGCCGCGATTCTTCTCGTCTTCTCGATGACTGGGACTCTTCTTCGCTTCTGGATTGCTGCTGCTCTTCCCTTCTTGAGGACTGCGGTGGAGCTGATGGAGCGTCAGGTCGTGCATCTACTATGTAATGTAAACCGAGATTTGTATGGTTCCATACTTACCATTGATATAATTCTGAAGAATCCGTGAAGTTTGCTGCTGTGCTTGCTGCAGCAAAGCTGCATAAGTCAATAAATTCAGTTGAAAGGGTAGCATTCCGGTATTTTGGTGCGGCCTACTCATTTGCCGGTTCTTTATATTGACGTGCTTATCACTGTCAAAGACCTCTGTTTCCCTAGGACCATTTAACAGAATAAAGATGCATACTGCTCCCGTAGGTCACATAAATTAGGCCAAATTGTTGAATATGACCTAGATAACACCATCATGACTTAATCAGTTAAGTCCTTGTCTTCAATAGTACAATGCAGCAGCAATCATTTACTTATCTGAGTTATTCTTCCTTATTCTTCCTTCATTCTTTCTCTTTAATCTTGCTTCTTATATGTGATTGATTGTTTCTCTCCTGTCGAGACGCAGAGTAATTAGATGGTCCGACAGTCTCCACGCCAATTGGGCGGTGCCCAGAATCTTCAGATGAGCTGGCACCCCCCGGGTGCTCGGTGGTCCCCTCCCCATTAATGTCCCCCATTTTGATATACATAATATAGAGATAAAATCATCTAGTCAAGAACTGTTCTGTTAAGATGCAATACAACAGGGTAGAGGGATCAAGTCCCGAGAATAGCTAACTCGTTAGACTTGACATGGAGGTCCCGGGTTTGTTTGAACTCATTCTAACACAATTTTTCTTGATGGGGAAAATCTTGAAAAGCTAGATTCTGCAGATCTTAGCTTAATTCCACCACCGGCACCAGCCCTCATCTCCTACGTCTCTACGTAGCTATTTTTCTACTATTATTTTCCTTTCTTATCTCACTTTCTCATTTTTCTTCCTTGATTTTTTGAGTCAGGCGATGAGTTTGAGTTTGTATTCATATGATTACCCCATTTTAAAATAACATTTTCCATTTATTGATCTTCAATCATTTTTTTTTGCTATTTCCGAGCCGTGATCCCCCGAGCCGTGAAAAAGCGAACCGTGATTTTTCCGACGCGATCTTTCTAGACGAGTTTAACTCTCTAGATTGAGAATCCGCGAGCCGTGAATTCCGCGAGCCGTGATTTCCTAGAGCCGTGATATCCCGGAGCCGTGAATCATTGATATTTTTCTTTATTATTTTCCTTTCTTTTCAACTGGGAATATTCTCCCCCAGATTTTTCTTACGCGCACATACAAAACTCAATGACTCTATCGCCACAGCCGGCATTGTACATATGTAAATAGGTTTTAACACGTGGAAAAAGCACTGTGAGCCAAATTTTTTTTGCCTTTATAACTGTCACACGTGGAAAAAGCACTGTGATAGTATTTTTTTTGACTCTCGCAAGTGGAAAAAGCACTGTGAGCCCCACCAAATCAAGTTTTCACATGTAGAAAAAGTACTGTGAGTAACTTTTGCCTGAAAGGACTTTCACTGGCCGTTTTTATGATTGCCTGTGGAATACCCAACGGCTACCCAATCGCCCGCGGTCACTCTAAAGGGTACTCTCCCACCGCTTATTTTCTTGATGGCTAATCACTCAACCAAGAGTGACATTTAGCCGCCAGAAGTGGGCACATGCTGCGGCAATGCCTTTGAACCTTGTAGTCCATCGACGAACGTCTGGGCTACAGGTCAACTTCGCGTGATTGTGCATATATAAGCACATCACGGGCCGCGGACGATATCCATTCGTCGACACGAGGAGTGGAGAAGGTATTCTGCTGACCTGAGGATTTGCCAACGAGCAACCAAGGACAAGAAGCCAACTATCAACCACTACTATCGACCACTACAAGCCAGAAAGAAGAAAGAAAGTATTTTGCTGACCTGAGGACTATCAAATTCAAGTTAGAGGTACTCTCTTAACTTGATCTTTTTTCTATTTCTTGATTCAGCTTACTTTCTTAGTACTTTCTTTCTGTATTTCTCATCATCTTGTATCTCATACCTTAACAAAAAAAAACCAAACAAAAAAAACACATTGATTTCCACAACAATAGCCTAACAACTTATGAACAATACTCCAAAAGTAGTAAATAACTCGCAGTCTAACAGCAGCGCAACTCATCCTATTGCTCCTAGATACAGGACTCGCTCTATTTCTTCTTCCAGTCCTACCAATACTAGTATGGATCCGCAAACCATTAACCACTTAGACACTGCATTTGAAAAGCTATCTTTGGCATCGTATTCTAGCCGTCTACCAACCTTTTCTGGTGATCTTGGCGCAAAGGGCCTAGACCAATTTATCAATGTATTCAACGAAATTGGGAACATAATGAATCTAAGTGAGGATAAGATGGCTAAGCTGTTACCAGCGCATCTAACGGGCACAGCTAAGGCAGTTTTTGATACTTTTGAGAAAACCGTCAAACTAAATTGGCGTTCCGCAACCGCTAAACTGACGGAACATTTTTACAACGACCAGTACCAAAACATGGCGCGTGAGAAATTGATGCAAATATCAATGCGCCCTAACGAGTCGCCGTTCATGTTCGCAAGTAGGCTGAAAAGTGAGATTGCGGACGCTTATCCAGGAGACACTTTTAAAGTTGAGCGCGAATTTTTGAAGACCATGATTTTTAACAACGGTCTCTCTCACAACATAAAACAAAAGCTAAAACTTCTGGGTCCGCTCAACCCAAACTTTAGTGAGTTAGTCAAAGATGCTGAGCGAATTTGGGAACTAATTAAAACCGAAGAAGTGGCTTTTGACCCTTCTCTTTTTAATTCAAAAATGGACAGGATTCTCAACCACCTTGAGAATCCGTTTTCTCAAGTCAATAGGACTTACCACCCAAATCAAAACCGCTCTAACTATAACACCCGCCAATATTCTCCGCCGCGCTCATCATACAATAATTATAATTACCGTAACCAGTCGCGCTCTCCATCGCGCTACAATAACTCTAATTACCGTAACCAATCGCGCTCGCCACCACGCTATAACAATAACAATAATAACCGTAGTCGCCCTAGGCATGTAAGGTTTGCGCCGGAGCCCAATTACCAACAGTGGCAATCTAGTAGCAATAATTACCAATCTAGATCTCCTCCGCGTAACAGAAATATGTCTTCGAGAAGAAATCAGGATAATTCCAATCGTTTTCGCAACACTAATAATTCTCGCAATCAATTTAATTCCAACCAAAATTTTCGCAATAGCTCTCGTTCACCAAATCGCAACCGTAATAACAACCGAAATTCTTCTCGAAGGGGTAATTCACATACGGTTAACTCCATAGCAGCCAATTTTTCCACTGGTGTCACTAATTCTGTAAACTCGCTATTTCTTGTCGCAATAATCGCGCTGATTTTGCCTACTTCCTCAGCATTCTCAATGGACTATCAATTATGTTCATCTGGTAAATCAGGATGGCCTATAGCCTATCCTGAAACTATTTCTTGCGCGCAACCAACCAATTTAACTAACGTATTGTTAACAATGGCTTCTGTTTTTGTAGAAAAAACAGAACCAACTACGCTAAGTGCATTTCATTGTTTCAATAAAACTAGGAAAGTTTGCGCGTCATCTTATCTACACATTTCTTTCTCGCTAAACAGCGATGAGGAATTTATGTCTCCCATCGACCCAATTCTCTGCCATAATATTGCAAAGTCTAAAAAGTACCTTGGTGAACCGTTACACATATTTTCGCCTAAAGTATTCGGTTCTCAGCGTCCTATTCATTATTCTTATCCCTGGTTCTTTGGTCAAAAGTGCACAGTCACCACAAATATTTATGTAGAAGAAGGCGAAATTGCCACTTTTGATGGTGATCAATTGCTAGGACAGTTTGGCGACATGGCAAATTGCACACTTAGCCATGACTACTGTCAACTGTCTCATGGTACCGTAGTTTGGAAGTCAAAAGACGCTCAAGTTGCTTGTAAATTTGTAAAAGCTATTGACAGTATCGCGTATGTCACACCAAATCACATTCTTCTTGAAGCAATACAATCCGCATTCACATACAAGAGCGTTTTCTTTCAAAAATCACAAATTACAAAGTGGTGTTTGTCCGAAAACGCAATTGCAATGGACAATGGCGTATTCATATTGCTTCCAGAACTTTTGGGAGAAGATCCTCGCACAATTTTTGATAGTAACATAACTCTAGTGCGAGAAATCAATGAAAAACACTTCAACTTCTCCAAAAGCTTTCCAATTTACGATGTAGACGCTACCTACACTCATAAAATTCGCAGTCCTTATGCATCACATGGCAATACTTTTTCAACTTCTAGCAATGCCACTATTCTTTCATCAATACTTTTGAAATCAAAACCACTTCAAATCAACCAAGTGAAACCGCTGATCAGAGGAAAACGATCTAGCGATAACTCAAAACCCGCGCACAGGACAATTAACATTTCTGCTATAGTCGCAGAGCATATTGCATTGAATTCACCTCCAGTATTCTCAGCGCAGCCGTCTGAATTAAATACCAAGTTGCAGTATCTCAAATTTAAGCTTGACGAGGTGATTCAGCGCGACTTTTCCATCATGTTTGAGCGAATTTGCGTCTTGAACAATTTCAAGATTTTGACTATCAAAAGTATTGCTAAAAGCGATCCTACAAGTGCTGCTAGGATGTTACTCAGCAGAGACGATATTTTCGCTATTTCTGCTGGGGATATTTTGATGATTTCTAAGTGTAAAACTATCCAAATTGATGAGATCTATCCGGACCATAAAGTGGATAGCAATTGCTATGTAGATACTCCGGTACGTGTCGGGAAAACTTTATTTTTCGTCCAGCCTGGCACACGTGATCTCAAAACCACATCTCCTTTTGCTGACTGTGGTCATTCACCATTAGGGGTTTACAATGATGGCACGAATCATTTTAAGTCATCTAATGGTTATGTCCACGTTTCTCACGTAAATTTAAATTTACCACAAAATTTCGCAAATCAAAACATAGTTTTCAATTCTCCGCCTATTTTCCATTCGGACCTAGCCAAAATAAACACGGAGATAAAATTCATCAAGAATCGCATTAATACAGCAACCATAAAGTCAAACTTAGATGCTTCGCAAGTTCACGAACCAAATTTGAACACATTTCCTGAGCAACTACAGGATGAAGTTATGGAAACTGCTGA